TTTGAAAAATGACTATAAAAAATAAGAGAAACAGAATGGGAAAAAATTAGTTACAGTTTCCTCACAACAGGAGTTTTCATAAATAGTCACAGTGGAATGTAATTGATTAATAATAATCTTGTATCTTTTAAAATTAATCAAAATCATGATAATATTTGTCGAATTCTACATGCCCAGCCAAAAACGACACATCACATTCACGTTTTCATAGAATGTTTCAAAAGTATTATCATAATAACGTTCCAAGTATTTAAAAAATTAGTACTATTGAAATACTATAATTCAACAAACAGTAATCACACAAGCTTTAAAAATTAATCAATTTTTTAGGACAATGGAATTTCATGGTATCATTTGACATGAGACATGTTCGATAAAATTTGCTCTTATTTTGATCAATTCTACACGATACGACACTAATATTTATTAATTGGATTCTAATTAAATTACATTTAAAACACTCTACATTTATATAGTAGGATTATTTTCGAATTTTTCCCATTAGAATAATAATAACTATCATGATCATGGAAAATCCTCACAATTGAACCAGATTGGACCAATTCCCAATGAAGTCGGGTATCCGGCCCGTGAGCTCCGTGTCTGATGCCCACCTAAACCACCATAACATTCATATTAGGCACATAATTAGTGTTCAATAAAAAAAATTGTGAGAGCCGGTCTAACTGTTAGGTGTATCAACCGAGCATATTTTCTTAACAAAATATATACTTATACCACGAAATCAGAAATTCTATGGTGCCCATATGGGCACCATATGGTGCCATAATTTCACGATCCAACGCCTAATATCCATATGGGCACCATAGAATTTCTGCCACGAAATTTGTATTTATGTTTTATTTTTTTATTGTATAACATTTCAATATAAAAATATACAGATCTGTTTAAAAAATACGACTGTGTCGCCGTTATACCTATATATCTAACAATTTGTTGAATATGATTAAGTAGCTTTTCATTTGTTTCCTTTAACAAGGAGGAGAAATTTTATTAGTTTTCTTACATTCTTTCCATACTCCGTAGACTCGCAAATGTTGCTGGTATTGGACCACTGATTCCAGAACTAATAAAGTACCTATAAACACAACAAAATTTTTGAAAAATAGTAAAGAAAAAAAAAAAAAAAATTGTGTTAACTTCATAATCGACACGACATCTTACATTTGTGTAAGTCTAGATAAATTTCCGAGCTCGGGTGGTAAAGGGCCGGTGAAATTATTCGTGCCAAACGCCCTCCACAACACGAAGCACACAATTACAATCACATGATTTAAGTCACAACTATATACAACATGAACGTGAAATATCGAGTGACCAAATTTGGGATAAAAATGATGTTGTAAGAGGAAAATATAAGTTTATCTAAGTTGAATTAATTTTAATTGAAACGAAAGAGAAACTCACAATGATCTCAAGTCTGTGAGCAGCCCAAGCTCTCTAGGGACCTGTCCTGATAACGCATTGATGCCAAAACTCCTAATATTATATATAAAATCACAAATTAAAACCAAATACGTAAATAAAATAATATAAAATAAAATAAAAATACACCTACAAGTATTGCATGCGAGTGAGATTGGCAATGGATGCTGGAATTGGTCCTGTCAAATAATTTTGACGTAAATCCCTGCAGCATAAGATGAATATTAATTAAATTATGGTAATTATATACCACCAATTTTTAAATAAATAAACTAATTAATTAAGTAAATTCAAACATACAAATCAGTGAGAAATGTCAAACTCCATAGCTCGTCAGGTAGTTGACCTGCTACATCCAACGCATAGACTCTCCTGTAGTAACAAAACTTGGACTAGAATGAATCCATTTTACACTAAGCTCTATAAACAAAAACTAGAATGTGAAATAATAATAATAATAATAATAATAATAATAATAATAATAATAATAATAATAATAATAATAATAATAATAATATCACGTACAGAGCCGTGACGTGGCAAGTGGACCCATTATTGTCAGTGCAATCGCATTTTATTCCGGGATTTATATTTGCAATTTGGGTTTGATCAGTAGCGACGCCGCTGCATAATTCGCCGCTAATATTCCATTGATTTGAGGCCGAAAGTCCCCAACGATGAAATATTGAATTTAAAGCTCTTGCTGTTATAATGCAATAAAAAAATATTAGAGCGTGAAATTATTAATTTCTTTTTCTTTTTCATTAATTATATATAGTTTCCTGAATTCCTANAGAAAGAAATTAAAAAAAAAAAAAAAGTGATATCCGTATGAGGTACCACCGGTACAATCATTAATATTGGTGGTATTATCAAAATAGTATAAAGCTATATTGGTGGTATTATCAAAATGGTATTATCAAAATAATATTGGTAGATATATTAATTTATATAAGTTTGATTAAAATATAAACAAATTAAGAAAATTATAAAACTATATTTAATAAGTTTTAAATTATCACTACATAAAAGTATTTTGCGTAAATTTAACGATCGATAATATTTATCACCAGGCGTAGGTACGATATATTAACAATTGATGTTAGCAATCAACACACCTAACCCTTGTTTATTAGTCAAACTATCTATTAATGGGGAACTAATCAGATGATTTAATTTTAAATAAAGTCAAATGATGTTTTTCTCCGATTGGAAATCAAACGCATGTGTTGTGTTGACATTGAACTATATACTGACGTCATGCATAAGAGTAAAATGGTCAAAAGCAAAGCTGATCAAAACAAGTGATTAAAAATCTTTTGGACGGAATTATATATTTAGATGGTCACGGATCTCGTGTTGCAACATAATATGAACAATTTAAAAAATACTTTATATTAATTTGAAAATTCAGTATTTTTAATTTAAAAAGTCTGACATTATATTCAAAATTAATCCACTAAACTAATTTTAAAAATATTGAACAATTTTGACACGACACCATAATAAAGTTATTTCATATATAATTTGAATATTGACTAGTAATTTCTGAACACAAGGTGATTAGGTAACTTTTGAAACGAATATCAGATACTAAAATACACCATGTTAGCTAATAAATCAGTAATGGGCAATAAAGAATTGTGTAACAAGTAATATGAGTTCGCATTTTTTTATTCATATAATTTAATATATTATTATTATACATATAAAAAGGGATGAAAAATGAGTGTGGAATTTCAATTCAATACATATATAATATAAAAAGACTTGTTATAATAAAAAAAATAAATAAAAACATTCACAAACACTAATGCAATGTATAACATCTCCCATAAAATTCTCCGCATAAGAAAAATAAAAACAATAATAGAAAAGAATAGAAAAATGTATATACATGAACAAATAGTATGCACCTTCAGATGGATTAGTGGTGGCGCTATTTGTTTGATTTTGAGCTCCAACGATACTTATGAGTTGGCCAAAGGTGAAAGCAAACCGCAAAATCATAATTGGCCGCCGCTCTTCTGGACGTCTCTGAGGCGGCGCCGCCAACATCGGTAAATCTGCTCACCGGGAAGCTTGTGCAATTTTATAACTGTGTGAGGGGTTGAGAGTGTAAAAGGCTTTCTAATTTATATATTTATGTGTTTCCACACTTTATGGATTAAATCTTTGGAGTCAACCCAAGCCAAGTTTTCCAATTTTAAATATTTTTTTTTTTTTCTTTTGACAAATACAACTGAATCGTGGAAAAATAATAAAAGCAGTGGGGAAGCTACATGTAGAAATTTCTTATAAATTCCTGGCAATCCTCCCTAAAATAAAGTCAACATATCCTCTTCAAATTGCTATATAAAAATCGTATGCTTGGAACAAATTTTAATTTTGGAATCAATTGCGACATATGAGATAAATTTTAAAGGGTATGGTACGTTGGGTAACTTTTTCAATTTAACCATCTTAGGATAAGGTCAAAGATCAAGTTCTAACACCATTTTTTGTCTCAAATCACGTATATCAATTGCCATATACCAAGGCCCAAGGCCCAAGGCCCAAGCCCATAGCATCTATTATTATTGTAATAACCATCTAAAAATTTCATGTAAGATAGGTTTCTTATACCTTCGATATCCTCACAATAATCTTTTCAAATATTCATTCGTCTTTTCAGAAATTATTTCTAAATACATAAATATATTTATTTAAAAATATATTAATAAATAAATATATTAGACATAAATATATTAATTAAATACAAATATATATTTAAATTTTCTAATATTACTTTTATAATAAATATATTTTGTGAAATATATGTATACAAAAATATATTTTAAGTATATTTTTTTATTGAATATATATATATATATACAGGAATTGGTTACAATGCATCTGTTATTTAAAATGTGGAGGTGAGACTCATTTTTTACCACAAGATTTAGATCTTGATTTAAATAATAATTCTTTATTTTAATTATTTAAATCTTTATTTTTAATTATTTAAATATTATTATGACCATTGACTCCGACGTTAACCGTTGACTCCGGCATTGACTATTGACTTCCGACTAGAATTGTTGACTTCCGGTGTTGACCGTTGACTTCCGACGTTGACCGTTGACCTTAGTATGCATCATGTATGAAAGAATCATTAAAGACAACTAACCTTGCAACCAAAGACAACTAATCTTGCACCTACAGACAACTAACATTGCAAATTGAATACAACTAAACATTGTAAATAAAAACAACTAAGCTTGCAAACTGAATACAACTAAACATTGTAAATAAAAACAACTAACCCTGCAATAAGATAAAACTAACTTTGCAACTACAGACAACTAACCTTGCAATTAGAGAAAACTAACATTGCAAGTAGACAGAACTAACCTTGCAACTAGACATAACTAACCTTGCAACCAAAGACAACTAACCTTGCAATCAAAGACAACTAACCTTGTAACTAAAGACAACTAACCTTCCAACTAAAGACAACTAACCTTGCAACTAAATACAACTAACCTTGCAACTGAATACAACTAAACATTGCAAATAAAAACAACTAACCCTGCAACTAAAGACAACTAACCTTGTAACTACACACAACTAACATTGCAACTAGACATAACTCACCTTGCAATTAAAGACAACTAACCTTGCAACTAAAGACAACTAACCTTGTAACTACAGACAACTAACCTTGCAAACATAATACAACATTGCAAATAAAAACATCTAACTCTGCAACATTTTTACAATAACTTTGCAATATATTTACACTAACTTTGCCTCACCATATTTACTTCATACACAATACATATTATGGTCAACGGTCAATGCCAGAAGTCAACGGTCAACACTGGAGTCAACTAATAATTATTTTTATTATCTAATTAATTTATATTTTAATTGATTAACATAAATCTTTGATCTAGACAAAATGAGTAACTAAGATTGAGTCTCACGTCCACATTTTAAGAGGTGGACTCATTGGATTCATCCCCTATATATATATATATATATATATATATATATATAATACAGTTATTTATATCATAGAAATAACAACTTTATTTTCTATAATATATTAAAATTTTATAGAATTATTATTAACGAATATAATAAGCACATATTCAGATTCAAATTCAAATTAATTTCATACATATTGGGAGTGGGTTTCGCATAAATTTTGATTACGAATTACTATTCTCATTCGAATTTCACGAATACGAATCACGAATCCAATCTATAGAACAACTCTACTTGGGATTAATGACTTGTGATAATAATAATAGCTCTTTCCTACAAAAACAAATACAAATGTACATCATGCTCATCGTCCTACCTCGAAAAACTCTTCTGTCCATCACTCTAACAACACTCTCAACAAATACTTCGCTTAAAAGAAAACAAAACTCAAACCAAATTAAAAAATAAAAATAAAATAAAACAGAAACCAGTAACAACATAGATAATTGTAGCAAAAGACTTCAGCTATTGATTACCACCTTATTTTCAAAGAACTTAACCTGGAAACGTGTCACTAGTGATGAAATTAAACGACTGACGAATTGTTGTGCAGAATTAGTGACGATTACAAGTATGAGCGAAAGTGGGAGAATTTATGGAAACTTATGGTTTGAGAAGAAGTGGTTTACATATGGCAAAAGCTGAAAATAGTTGAGAATCAGAACATAGCATTTGCATGTAGGCTCTAAAATTTGAATAGTTAAAAGATGGTGCTTGGCATATAATTTGTTGAAAAAGCTTATTTGTCTGTAAAAGTAAAAACCACTAGCAGTGCTAGGAATCCAAATCACCTCTCTCTCTCTCTCATATAATAATGCAGCTAGATTTTGGTTAAATTATCTATAATGATACGTCTTTGGCATCCAGAAACACTCAAATCTATTCTTTTATAATCCAGAAGCTAACAAATGAATAACTACACTAATATATATTATAAGATCAAGTCTCTAAATTCATTAATACAAGACAAATGGGGTGAACAACATCACAACAACTCATAATGAAAAAAATGGATTAAGCTATAACAGCATTATGAGTGAACAATAGTCAATAGCACATAAAGCTTCAGACGTCAAATGAAAAACTGAGTTCAACAGTAAGAACTTGGTGTGGGTTGTTCAAGCTTCCGTCTAAACATTCTCATACTCACAATTTAACAGGAGAAACAAAATTCAATTAACAACTTAATCTTTCATTTAGAACCAGCACGCAAAATGACCAAACATAACCGTCCTACAGTTCTAATAGCTAAATTTATAACTTCAAAGTCATGTTCAATTATGAAAAGCAGCATAACTATTTTGTTCATGGAGAAACAGTACAACTAATGATTTAGTAAAGCATTTTTACAAACACCTTGAATACAACTGCGGCTTCCAACCAAAAACTCAACCCATCGAGACCCAAAAATGGAAAACATGAAATAATTCAAACAAAATATTGTTGCGCACTGAAAATAGACAGTCATTAAATTGCAGTTACCAAAACAGATAATTAATAGTTCTTTGAGTCAAACATCAATCAATGTGGTCGTGCCAGAGTGGCTATCGGGCATGACTAGAAATCATGTGACCTTTGCTCGCGCAGGTTTTAATTCTGCAAACCACGTTTTTTGTATTCATATTCTTCCTCCTTTTTTTTTTATTTTTCCTTTTTGTATTTATATTCTTCCTCCTTTAATATTTTCCACATATAATATATGGCAGCAGGTAAAAATTGTATGTAATTTTGTTTATGAACTATCTCCTCTCTAATATATAAAGAGACATTAATAATATTATGAAACTTGTAAGTATTTGGAATTTGCAACCTCAAGAATTTTTCATAGTAAATTCCAACCTTTAATATATGAAATGTCTATCGCAACCTCCGATCTTCGTCAACCCTATTTTTCACCGAAAAAGTGAGCGTGCGAGACACACATACCAAATTTGAGGACAAAAATGCTATTTTATCTGATGTTTCAAGGACAATTTGATCATGTCAGGGTCTGTGCAGGTTGTACAAAATGAAGCGCAATGTATCTGTGTAACGCCCCGCTCTAACTTAATTATCAGAGTGCGTTTATAAGACATCTTTTAGAATAGTTTGAGAAAATGATTCGGAGCGTTACTAAAACATTTATTTTATCTTGAAAATCCGTTACGATCGTTTAAAATTTACAAGCAAAACGGATTAACATAATATACAATCCGACTATGAAATCGGATCAAAAGTCAAAGTTTGTCAAACAGTGAAATTCAGCGGAACACAGCGTGGCAAAATAGAACAGTAAAATATTTAACTTCGATCATCCGTCAACTTCACAGCTCCGGACCGACTTCATGACCTGAAAAATTTGATAAAAATGAGGTGTGAGTACCACTGCACTCTGTAGGAACTCATACTAAAGTAAACAGCAATAATAATAGTAACATCATGATCAAAAGCATATAACATAACCGTGAATTTCCTGGTCAACAGTATAAACCGGACCGGGACCCGTGAATCTACCGGCTGCCATGATGATAATGATAATGATAATAATTTCAGCCGGAATCCATGTGCACATACTAGTGGTAGATGACGCCACTAGAGCTTAGAACGGAATTATGGCAACCTGAACCGGCCAACATCCATTCCAAACGGAAAACATAATCATACCTTGAACATGATATCGTAATTATAATCAATGTAATACCCAGTCTGAGTCCCCACCTGTACTGAAGATATGAAACTGGAAGTGCTGATAGTCGTGAACTGATCAAACTGTAACATAATATAAACAATTACTAAGTACTATGCTCAGATCAATAAATTTAATTGTTAAGATGCTCGACTCGACTTAATATGATATCCGGATATAACGGAATGCACTAAGGTTTTACAGAAATAAATTCTATATCCGGAAATTATACTGATATGCTTAACTGATCTGATTTAGCTCGGAAAATAATTTAAATTTCAGAATAAGACTCGGACTGAAAATTACGAACCAAAACAGACTCGAACTGCCGGCTATACCGGCCGGTTCGCTAACTAGATGAACCGGGTCGGGCTGAACCGGACCGGGTTGGACCACCGATTCACACTGGACTGGGTGGTCACGGGCTGGTTGGGCTCGGTCCCGTGCCGGCCTGCTGGGGCCATGGCACGGCACTGGACACGGGCTAGGTGCGACCGGCCTCGGCACTAGGCG